CATAGGTCCTTTAAATAGATATTCTATATTCGAAACGTATAGCTTTAAGGATGTACTCGGGTGGGGTTTATCAATTTTTGTCAGATGTTCGGATTTCTTGTTTTTTTTTCCTACGATAAAGGGTTAAATATTTTGCCCCATATCACCCACTTTTCTTTTCATAGAAGACTTCAATAGCTCATAAAATTGTCATTACAAAAGTTTAAGCAGATTCTAGATTTTTTTCTTACGATTTGAGACCCTATTAATGCCAATGCTAAATATAAGGTAAAAGTCCGAGTCAGCCTTTTCCTGCCATTTATAAAAAATCAAATATCTCAAAAAAGGAGTTTTATAATCTATCAATATTTTTAGCTTATTTTGTTCCTTAACTTATGTTCTCCTGACTTAAAGTATCAATTTTAAATTCTAGATTTTTTTTTCATTTCACCTAAGTACATCCATAAAGCGTAACTGAATCAGATATAATATAAAATACATTTTGTCAATAAATATAATACCCATACAGGATTATGATTTCCCTTCTATACTGTATTTGGATTTTCCACCCAAACCCACTTATTCAATTTACTATAACTTAAAAAATACGTAGTTAAAAATTAGCAAAACAAATTAATAATTATTACATTTGATATTCAACATAAAATAATTAGTCTATTTGCCTATTATCGATTAGATTCTGTTATTACACACTTTTAACAAGTTGTCTTCTTTTGCCATTTGTAGACTGGTTTTCAACCTGATATAATGGGCTGCAGCCCATGCAAAGCATGATAAGTTGAAGGTGATATATAAGCGTTTCATCAATTTTATTGAAAAATGATTATCGATGTTAAAAGATTTTAGATTAACAAAATAAGAAATGTAATTAAAAGATTCGATACAAGGTACAGATTAAGTTCATTACGAAGAGATAAATTTGATCTTAGACTTGCTCTTCTCTTCATTGATAATGAAAATGTATGTTTATCCTATAGGAATCAACGCGTACAAACAAATCTTTAATCAAAGAGGTTATTTACAAAATTGGCAAGTAGATTGTTTGATTCCTAAGGTCTGCTTAACGAAGTAGTTTCAAAAATCTGTCATAATTATATAAAGATCATCTTAGAACATAAACATTATGAAAGACTGCATATGGAATAGTTTAGCTTGAATGCTCCTTAAAGTAAGTGGTTCTAAATAAATGTAAACATAGAAATTCCAAGTTTCACTAAATTATTTGTGTTGAGAACATAAAAAAATATCATGAAATTGAATATTTAACTTTTTTTTTCAGTAATTCTACATTCCAGTTTAAGCACGAAAGTATGTGGTTGAATTTTTATATAAAAAAATGTTGATGAAAATGGGATTTTCGATTTCTCAATACAAGTCCGTTTTAAAGCTATAACAAAATTAGATGATCATTATTTGCAACAATTAAACCGTTCTATTTTCATTAAACAAAGAGCGATAAAAGATCAAAACCTGACGTTTCATCTTTTGAATATGTATTAATGAAATATATGTTCCGGACCACTATGAAATGAGTATTTGAACAATACGCGTATGGTTATGACCATACGCGTATGGTCCGGGTAATTAAAAACGATGACCGTTGCAAGTTACTTTTACTGTAAATTGCATACGTATGACCCTTTCAGGTATCACACAAGTGTTTTTAAAATGAAATTTTGACTTATTCAATCATATATTAATTTATTGTTACTGTCAAGTCCAGATTAAGTAAAATTATACATTGATAATTATTTCATATAAACTCCTGTATATTATCTAATTTGGAAAGTACATTGAAATAATTGTCACAACATGCAACATGAAAATGAATACTGTAACCCAACTTTTTTTCGCGGATACTTTATTTTGCGTTTAGCCATTTCTAGCCCACTTCGCGGCAATTTAATTTCGCGATTTTCAAATCTACTTGATGTAGTTAAATAAGGAAAGATCTAAGTTTTACATATTCGCGACGATTTATATTTGCGTTATTTTTATTGCTAAAATAAATCGCTCGCGAAAATTAGTTGGTTTACAGAAATGAAAGTCCATAATAGAGATCATAATAGGAATCCCGGACGACTTTATTTAAAAGCGGAAACTCTTTTTCCTTAAATGTGCACACAGTTATTTTTTTATAATCAAGTAAATTAACAAAATAAGACACATTCAATTCGTGTTCATGTTCATGCTAAAACCAGGAAAGTACGAGTTTAATAGAATTTTTGTTTATATAAAAATAAGAAGATGTGGTGTGATTGCCAATGAGACAACTCTCCACAAGATACCAAATGACACAGAAATTAACAACTATACGTCACTTCTTTAGTTTACAATATTCCTACGCATTGTTGTCCTGTTCCGGTAAATGTGGGCTTGTACAGTAATTCAGAGTTTCATTGTGTCATAAAATTACAATTCATAAAACTATCAACCAATCAGAATGCCAGAATCATATGAAAAATCGATCTAATGTAACAATGAAAAAACAAAGTATTAGAATGGTGTCAATAAATAGCAGTCTTGGTATATGTTGACTTTTCAATGTCTAACGGTTGTTTGTGTCGTTAGGTTGCTGTTCAATTGACGTAGAACATATTGATCTCCTTCTATTCATATTAGAAATCCTCGAAAGTATATAACTCTGAAAGTTAAAAAAACACAGTTTCATTGAAATATTTAAGTCGCTTTCAATACAGCTTTAAGTTAAATGATAAAGTTTGAAATTTAGCTATTGGTTTATACCTATATGATGATTTTCATCGGCTATCGTAAACAGTAGTATAATGTTCAATATTTCAAAGTCTACTTTGATACGTTAGAAACGGTTATTGAATAAAAGTCTATGAGGTATATCATTGTAACGAAGATATTGAAAATATATTGACTTTTGTAGCTTTCCTTCGTGCAAATGCATAACGATTGACATTTAGAAAAATATTGCTATTATCATGCTCCGTTAAAATGATAGTTTTGAGCATAAAAATAATTTCTTATTATTTCAATACGTATGTCATTCTTCATTTTTCAAGATTATCTGAACACAACTTGAAACGTAGGCCTCGGATTAAATATTGATCGCTCACTGAAAGTACAAATGTAAAAACACAAAAAGCTCTTTGTTAAAAGAAGTAGTAATAGGATGTGGATATTCATGTGATATTTGTTTGACTCTCAAACGTGTCCACCCCTCCCCCTTCCCCCAAACGTGTCCAATCCCCGACACGTGTCTATTTCGCCAAAACGTGTCCACTTTTTAAAGACGCCATAACGTTATGTCATCTGTGACGTCAGTAATTGCTATGGCAAATTCAATCAATGGATACGATTGAAGCAATCTCCGTACAGCGCTCGTTTCCTTTCCGTATACTCTGTAAACTACAATACAGATCGGGTTTTTGGAGTCCAAAGGAAGAAAAAAACCCCTTTCTTGTTCAATACAGATGTATTTTTGGTACAATTCCGAAGATTAAAACTGAGTGAAAAGAAGAAAATTCAAAATGGAGACTTTGTAAAATTTGAAGAGATGGTCAAAGGTCCAAAATAAGAATTGAAGTTATTTTATAAATGTGCAACTTTTTAAATTTTGATGAACAAACAAAATTGCAAATATTTGTGGCGTGGCTGAGATGACAAAAATTAATTCATCATATCTATCTAATACAGAGGGGCGTAAAGGGGGGTATCTGCACGGAAGAACGCGAAATAAAATTGCCATTTCACGTTGAACGAACAATTAACAATTTCTTGCACGTTGATCTTTTTACCGATTTCACGAAACACGGTGAATAACGAACCTTTTTCACGGCTGCACGTGAAATAAACATGGCAAAACACGTTGCACGAAAATAACCCTTTACCACCCTCAATACAGTGTTCTGTCTTTGCAATTTTTAAATTGGGCAGCACTAGCACATTTTATTTGAAATTCTGTGCCTATTTTGCTTTAAATCGTGGAACCCTATGCCCATAAGGTGCTACTGTCTACTACCCCCCTTTTTTACAACAACAAACCAGTATCCTTTAAAATATAACAATCAAGGAAGAACATTTATAAACCTAATCGAAAATTTTATTTCTCTGCACTCTAAGTCAGAGGTCCCTGTAATAATATCGACTAGATTTTATTCAAATAACAATTGTCAAAACGAAACACTTTTACATTAAGGTTAACACGTTTGGGCCTTTTTAAAATATGGACATAATCACGATTGGTCGTTTATGAAAAGGACACGTTTAGGAGTCCTTCGATTTCGTCAACATGTTTGGAGTTTAGTGACGTCATGCGGACACGTTTGAGGGATCGGACACAATTTGGGGAAAGACACGTTTGTGTTACATATTTGCTACTGAACTTTAACACCTATCCATCATTCAATATCTCTCTCCTCTCCTTTTATCTCTAACGATAGAACTTTCTTTTACAATTAGTTTGCATTAGACTGAAACAAACCTTTCATCAACTCGGAAAATGTCTTTACCTGGCCTATCGATAATCATTTTTTTTCTTTTGTCTGACTCACATTCTTTGTTGTCAATAGAAAGCAATAGTTTGGTGGTAATGTACGGATAATCCCTTAGTTTCCTAACAAGTGACGAATAACCGTAATGGTACAAGAAAAAAGTTTATTAAACGCTGTATTATAAAAAAAAACCGTCTGATATATGTATATCTAATTGATAAGTTGATGCCTTTTATTCTGTATCAAACAGAATCAGGCGCAACTCTTTATTTATCTCGAAGGACGACTCTTTTAATCTTTCCAAAGCAGAACACAGGTAATTCTAATCAACATTCTGATACAATTTATTGAATATACATATATACAACAATAATACTCTGTCATCTTTGTTTTAACCATTGTATGTTCACAGAACCGATATACCGTGAAAGTTATAATTATTACCTGGCTTTTCATGAGCAGTAATGAGACTAATATTAGTCACGTGACATGATTGTTGAGGAAGATCTGAAGTACAATTACAGCATAATATTGGTGGATTCATTTCAAAACTATGGATGGAAAAACGATTAAACTGAATGTGAGTGGCACATGCTTTGAAATATCTCAAACTTCGATGGCAAAACTATTAGAGACAAAATCTGAAGCAACAGAGACACTTCTAAAATTGCAGAAGGACTTTACTACAGAAGTTTTTTTTGAACGCCATCCTGGTATATTTCCATCTATTCTCGGTTATCTACAAGATCGAGATATGCATTTTCCAAACAGTGTTTGCGTAGGTGAATTTCTTGAAGAATTGAAATTTTGGGGTATAGATACAAAAAATATTTCTAAATGTTGTTTGAGCAAGATCGTAACATTTACTGATGAGCAGAAAACTCTACAAATAATGGAAAAAGATCAAAAGGATAAAGATGACAAAAGGAATGAGCTTCTGAAAAAGGTAGAGGGAAAGCAATCGTGGAAACGAATTCAAGCAAGAGGATGGCTGGTACTGGAAGAACCCAGTACATCTGTTCTTGCAAAGGTAAATCATTCATCTTTTATAAAATGATTAAAATTTAAAAAAGAATAAAATTGAGAATGGAAATGGGGAATGTGTCTAAGAGACAACAATCCGACCAAAGAGCAGAAAACAGCCCAAAGGTCACCAATGGGTCTTCAACACAGCGAGAAAATCACGCATCCGGAGGCGGGCTTCCCTAAACAAAAATGTGTGTCAATAAGTATCAATTTTCAATCTATCGGAAAACACACGCACACACAGAAAAAGAACAGAAGAATTCAAACTAAAAAAAAACCCCATTTATTCCTAAATAAATAAATTAATTGATAAATGAAATAAATAATGAAAACAACACTTTAAAACTTCATGTATCCGAATTTTCTGGATTTACCTCCTTTAGGATAATTTTTGCAGTTTTTGTCCAATTTTTAAGACTTTTTTAAAATAAGCATACAGACAGATTTTCACTTATCTACATTTTAATATTTCAGTTATAAAAGCAATAACACAAACACTGGATTTGACACTCCTGAATAAAAATATAACTTATTCATAAACAAGAAAAACCTTTACACATCTTGATTTTTTCATTAAAAAGGATTGAAATGAGCGTTTTGTCGTAAAATAAAAGCGTCATTTCATCCCCTTTATACCCTTAAGCTTACTTTCTGAAATTAAATGTAGTTCTTTCTTTGCTCAAAATGTTGAACCTGTTTTGAGAATTTCTTAAAATTATAAAATAACTGTTTCGAACGTAAAATCTATTTATGGTCCAAATACCTACACGGTTAACATATATCAGTGTGGATTCCATTTAAAGAGACGTGATTTTGTTTAGATATGCGTTTATCTCTTAAAGTAAATTTTAGGAAACTTTATTTGGCGGACGTTGCAACCAGTAGAAATCAATGTGTCAATACTCAACCTGTCAACATAGCCACAGCATATTGAACCTCAGTTTATAGGGAAAATGCTGATAAGTGCAACTTAATGTTCTACTTAATTGAAAGATGGGTTACGACGGAAGTATTTACGGGAAACCTGGGATAGTCAAGAAAAAAAAAAACGGTTCGGAGAAATGAGATAGAATCTGGATGTTGTTGTTGTTTTTTATTGATAGGAAGCTGTCGGTTTACAATAGATTTCGCTGTTCCTTTGCTTTTTGTGTTTTTTGCAAATATTGATTTCGTGTCATAGATGGATACTCCATATACTTTCCTTTCTATAATAATGCTTATCAAGGCGCGAAGTTAAAAGTCATGATTTTTTAAAAGAAGCCACAAAGGCTCATGACCGGTTACAGTTTTGATCTTGAATCTGGTTCGATTTTTAGACACTAGGCCCAGAAGAATCATGTTAGCTATTGCTATACTTTTCTCCTGTTGAAAATAGTAAGCTTTGTCTTCAGACAATACAAGATAATTTCAATAACCAAAGTAAACATTTGACATGTATTACAAAGCTGCATCGTATAAATATTAACCTTAGATAAAATAGTACTATAAGAATGATACGGTCGAAGTTGAATGCTTTAAAAGAAAATAATTATGTTCTTAAAAAAATCTTAAAAAATCTTTTATTCAGACCCACACGCAACATTATATTGTTGCGATTTCAAGCGGTTATTCTCATTGATAGGGCATAAAGCAATCATGTGCTTACTGTTGATTAATTTGATATATATTGGGAAACCTGTGATTAATATAATTATTTTATTTCAAATTCACATTTGTAACCTGAAGTAGAGACGTATATAATTATACATGTATATATGTCTCTGTCTGAATTTACCGGTTTAGTGGCATAAACTAATCAATATTCAAGAATACAATGCAAACAGAATGAAATATACAAACTTTATAATAGCATATGAGTACTATGCAAATAAAATGAAATATTCAAACTTTATCATAAGAATGTTAATTACAAAAGCAAACATACTAGGTGTGTTATAGCTACCGAGTCGACTTTCCGCAGTGCTGAGGATTTTTTAATATATGGAGCAACAGACTAATAAGTTCAGGCATAGATGATATGTTGGTTAGTTTACCTCTTTTAATCTTTATTATTTAGTTCTGGAATCTAACTTATAAACATTTTTTGTAAAAAATAAGTTTCCAACGTTAATCTGTTCTTTATTGTATTTCTTTACTCGAGATACAGTTAAAATTATGAAATTGGACTATTAGAATGGATAACTAGCACCGTTAACTTAGTTTATGGGTATAGTGGTAGAATCTGATTTTCTAATGACATTGCGAATAACTTAGAGAATACATGTATATTTGATCAACGTGTGATTTGATCTCTAAAGTTTAATCGAGGTATACAAATATGGTCATTACTGGACCTTCACCGTTCCTGCAGTAAAATCAGTTGCTGTATCCGTTTGGCTGTTCGGGATGTATAAATACGCAGCCACGTCTTGTCGAAACACGTAAAATTCGAAACCTCCTGGAGAGAGAGAGAGAGAGAGAGAGAGAGAGAGAGAGAGGCTCAAAGGTGACCTGTTGCTAGGCAAACTTTCTGTCCCTATCCAACATACCCAAATTATCCATTGACAGTCTAAATTTTCCGTTCTTTATTCCCTTACCTTTAAGAATCTACATATTGTATTTATTGTAAATTTGTTTTCATCCTGAAATATTTGCAATTGGACATACAAGCAATCAATCAGCTAGTGCTTTCTTGCTCATGATTGAAGGCCGCACAGTAACATAGAGTTGCTTACATATGTCATATGGTCGATGATAGATATTTGTCTCATTGGCAATCATACCAAATCTTAATATTTTTCTATATGGTCAATGTTTCTTGAATTTGTTTCACTTATGCGGTTAAAAATCCCCCCCCCCCCCCCCCCCCCCCCAAAAAAAAAAAAAAAATAACCAAAAACAAAACCTCGTGGCATTTGAATATCAAAGACCGATCCTTACTGATATGCTTTAAAGATTTTTCTATAAAATTTATTCATCGCCGTCGAAGACAATTCTGAAATAAAGTTGCAAATTTTACATTGTTTTGTAGGAATTAAAGTAAACAAAATGAAATAATTATCTGAAAGACAATACATAGCTTACTATCGTTAGAATATATTTTTAATGATATCAGTTAGAAGCGACTGGAACCAAAACTTTAAAAGTATAGTTTTATATTTATTTACAATTGAGATCCTGAGTTTAGGTAGAACAAAATGGTTTTAGTGATATGGATCTAATCGAATTAATTATTAAAGATAAAGTATTGTATTTATTCTCTGAATGAGATAGACTAATCACTTACCATACATTATTCCCCCGTCTTATAATGAAGTTCGATTTCATTTTTAATGCTAAATAAAAAAAATATTTTAAAAACAAAACTGCTGCTTTATAATTGATAATACCTTTAGTTCAGAATTGCAATCAGGAAACAAACTATATTTTTTCTAGGATTTTGATTGCTCGGCCTTCTTCTCGCGTATGTAAAACTTGAATCGAAGACAAAATTACAAATTGATTGATCGTTGCTTGCTTTACGTCCATTGACAAACATAACATGCACATTAACCATTAATACAATAGGTAGGTATGCAAGGTAGGTCGTCAGGATGAGGGCGAAAACTTTGGACGGTCATTGCATGGAAAATGCGGGTATGTTGGAGAAGAACAGAAATTTTGCCTGGCAGGTTAAGAACCCTCAGATAGACGTCGCAAGGGTTCATTTATGTTCTCTGAGCACCTCGTCACGCACACTGCACGGGACATCGGATTAAAATCGTCCACATTCCGACCGGAAGCTGTTGTTTGTTTATACTTCTCATAGAGCCAAACGGACTCTGCATTAGCAGAGTTTTACTTTGGACGAGAGAAGTCGAGGAATTACCATATTTCTAAACCAAAGTCAACCCTTGGGTTAAAAAACATAGAATTTTATGTTTAAAAAAATAGAATTTTATGTTGGACTTGAAAAATAATCCAGGAGTTAGATGTTAGAAGTGAGAAATGTCAAGTTGGAAGTGAGAAATGTCAACTTAAAAGTGAAAAATGTCAAATTGAAAATAAGAAATTTGGAAGAACGTCTCTATCAGTCTTTTGTAGCTTTGTAGCAATTGAGTTAGATTAAGTGTTTTACCGGTAATAAGATCCTAGAATCGTTTCGGCATATGAAATTTGCCAGCTTTAACTGAATCTATACCATGTCAGACTCCAGGGGGTCGTATTCAGTGGTTGAGTAGGAATTTTTTAACGACTACTCTTTAGCTTCGGACTTCTTTTTCTTTTTTTGATATGAAATATTATCTTTTAACATTTTAATAGCAGTTTGATTTTCAACATGATGCAAATGGTAAATGCTGTGTTTGTTTGGTTTTTATATTGGTTGTTTGGTTTTTGATTACTGTTTCGAAATTACACATAGAAAGATGTTTTACCCAAAGATACTAATAAAAATGAAAGTGAACATAAATGCATTAACATACAAAAAGGAATGGAAGTTAACAGTTTAGTCTCCAAGAAAAGAAAATAGCTTTAGAATGGCATAATTTTATGAAAATCATCATTTGATTTTATTTAGTGAAGATCTAAGTTTAATTATGCTTTTATTTATTTTTAATGTATCAATAATTGTTACAGATAATTGGCTACTAAAAGGATAAAATTAACTTTTATATATGTTTTCACTGTCCTTGTCAATCGTGTTAATGAATCGTTATTATTCAGATTGTTTTAAACACACATAAGTTACATCACATATCTTTAAAATAGAGGCGAAAGATAACAAAGGGACATTAAAACTTGTAAGTCGAAAATAAACTGAAAAAGCCATGGCTAAAAAAGAAAAAAATCAATAGACAAACAATAGTACACAAAACACAACATAGAAAACCAAAGATCCTGCTCCACATGTGGCACCCGTTGTGTTGCTCATGTTAGTACAAACCCGGTAATAGACGAATTCGGGGAATAAGATATTTTACAGTTTCAAAAGAGTCTGATTATTAGACCAGACATTTCATTCAATAATTACTATTATACTAGATG